TTTATAGTTTAAGGGCCTGGTTAGAATTACTGCCTTAGACTAGGAATAGCTAAGAGCTGAATATAAAATGATGTGGCCTTAGATTAAGAATAATTTAAGAGCATTATTGATATATATTGAATATCAAATGACTTGGAATAAAATATTGAAAATATTTTGAATGTTTGAACCATATATTGTGTGCATGATATCAAATAGTTGATTATGAATTGAGATTCAATTTATGTGGATGTTCGACGTTTTAGATATGCTTACTCAGCTTCACCGCTGAGCGTGTAGTATGTTTTATTTGCTACACGCAGGTAAACAGAAAGATTAATGTGATCCTGGCGGCAGATGGGGCGAGATTGTCCGGATGGATGTGACAAGTTTTGAAATGATTTATGATAGGTCAATATTAAATTCGCTTCCGCAATATTGTTAAATACTCCGTACTGTATATGTTATGAAAAATATTATTGAGATTAATAAAGTGTGTTTGAAAAGTTTTAAATTTTATGATTACCAAGTTAAATACTTTAGTCCGAAAGGGGCTGTAGACCTGGACGGATTAGGGTGTTACACCTATATTCTGCCTCAGCAGACGAACGAGCCACCATTGTCTGCTTCTTTGTCTTCCACGAAACAGGTGAGTCCCCAAGTTGCACAAACCATCATGTGAACGACCGCCATGTCAAAGGACATGCTGCCCAATCTGAATCACACCATCTTGTGAGCTGAAGACTATTGTCTGCAGAAAGGAAAATGCCCTGTCCGGGACATCCTTTCAAATAACGGACCATTCCAAGTGCCGCAGACCATTGATCCTTCCTTGGTTCCTTCAAAAATTGTGCTAAAATGTGCACTGCATAAGAAAGCTCCGGTCGTGTAACAGACAAATATACTAACCACCCTACCAAACGACGATATGGTTCTGGATCTCTCAGAACGGGAGCTTGGGAACGAGCCAATTCAAATGATGATTTGGCTCCATGGGTGCACCTAACGGCCTGGCACCTAACAACCCGGATTCAGTAATAATATCCAAATTGTACTTCCGTTGGTATAGAAATATTCAGACGTGCTCCTCGCCACCTTAATGCCAAGAAAATATTTCAGTGTCCCCAAGTCTTTCATATGAAAACAATCCCCCATATATGCTTTGAACTTGCTCACCATCTCTGAATTATCTCCAGCAATAATTAAATCATCAACGTAAATCAAAACATGTATTACTCCTTTCTTTCCAACGAAAGAAAATATGTAGTAATCAGGAACAGACTGGACAAACTCATAGCATTTCAAAGCTCTAGACAACTTGGTAGACCAACACCTTGGAGCTTGTTTCAAACCATACATAGATTTCTTCAGTTTGCATACTACATTAAAAGAATTGGAAACACCTGGTGGCAGTCTCATGTACACCTCATCCTCAAGATCTCTATGAAGGAACACATTGTGCACATCCATCTAATGCAACTCCCAACCATTCACAGCTGTAACAACTGGTAGAGTCCGTACTATAGTTAACTTGACCACACGAGCCAATGTTTCCTTGTAGTCAAGTCCCTCAACCTTATGATTGCCCAGTATAACCAATCTGGCCTTATATCTTTCCACACTGCCATCGGACTTGCGCTTGATTTTATACACCCACTTGCAGCCAAGGGGCTTTTTATGACGTGGAGGAGCAACCAGCGACCACGTTCCATTAGCCTCCAGTGCATCAATCTCCTCCCGCAAAGCCTTCCGCCATCGCTCATCCCGGAATGCCTTTTAGAAACACGTGGGCTCCACTTCCTCGTCAAGTGCCGTAGGAAAACACTTGTGTTTGTCAGAAAACTTCTCATAAGTGACATATGAGGAGAGTGGATATCTGCATCTTTCTCCGCTATGTGGTCCAGTGACATGTGTAACATAGTCCGCAAGCCTCACATTTGGGCGTCTTTCTCGTTGACTACGCCCCAGCCTCTCCACTGCCTACTGGAAAGTGGACAGTCGACCGCCATTCGTGGAACGGTCCACGGGGTCGACCGTCTGTAGCTGCGCTGGATCATCAAGTTTCTGCCTCGGGGACGGTCGACCGTCCTCTATGACGCGGTCGACCATTGATTCATCTCCTGAAGACCCGTCATTCTGCCCTTCCGACGATCGACCGTGGTCATCAGCACGGTCCACTAGGTCGACCGTCTGTAGGTCTTCTGCGTCTCCATTTCCCGGTGGTCGACCGTTCCTCCAGGAACGGTCCAGATGGTCCTCCGTGGATAGTTCCTCAGCATCTTCAAAATAATCAGTAGTTGGGTTGCTTCTTAATGCATCATCTTTGGGTGTTTCACCTGTGGAAAACAAGAAAGGAAAAATGTCTTCACAGAACACAACATCACGGGACACACTGATCTTTCTAGTGTCAGGAAAATAGACGCGCCATCCCTTCTTCCCTTGTGGATAACCCAAAAATATTCCAAGAATACTTCTTGGTGCAAATTTGTCTCCATCCCTCTTCAAATTGTGAGAATTTGTGGACATAATTTCCGCGGCTATTGTTTTTTATCGACCGGCATCGCGTCCATCGGTCAACACTTGTTGCTGCTGCCAGACGCCGGAACGGTCGACCGTTAGTGAAGAACGGTCGAGGTCATCGACCGTCCCGACGGTAGTTTCTTTCTAATCGCCGCTGCAATTTCGCTCCGTTGTTGATCTGCCATTTGGTATGTCCGAGAAAGTAAGCATGAAGATTATTTTCAACAAGAATAATGAGGAACGAGAGGAAGAGGAAGTTGGAGTTCGTCGTCGACGTATTTCCCCATACGATTTGTCCCCGAGCGACAATACAACTTCAAAATAATATTTTCAAGACAAGGTCTTAATTAAATGGGTCAATACATTTTACACCCTCAAAAGATAGCAAATAATTAAGATGCACCATCACCCTTAAGAAATGTTAAAATGCATCATTTACCTTCTCTTTCGATTTTTCTACTAAAAAACAAATCATGTTAAAAAAAATTTCTCTGATCGATCGAGATTGATGGATTAGGGATTTTTCCTAATCCAATATTATTTGAACAGTACAAGAAAGCCCAATTTTATCTGGCCCAAGATATAAATCAGATAAATTATTCAAGACAAAACAGAGATATATGGACAGAAGAATATATTTGACGGGACCCGTGGAACACTACCACATGGAAACCACATGCCGCACATGGGTTTCACATGGACAATGTCCCTTCTTGTCTCCATCAATTATTTCCTTTTCCCCTTTAAATGCAGGCTACGAAGGAGGGAGGAGAGAGGGCCAAATACTCAACAAGTCCCTACTATTATTCTTCATTCTTCACCTTTTCTTAGCATGGAGTTCTATTAATGGCTCCAAGCTCCTACAGTGATGCATATGTAAATTTCCCCGAGATTAATAAAAGTTCCTCCCCTTTGGCATGGCACCGCCTAAAAAGGCCCGTGGTTTTCTCCCGATTCAGGTTTCCACGTACAAATACTTTCTCTCTACTTTATTTATTTATTTATTTTCCGGATTTCGCTATTCGGTGCGGTGTCGACCCGATACCGATTTCAACAGGTCGACGCCCCGAAAAAGCGATTTCTATCAGAGATATTTTTTTAAATTTGTGAATTTAAATGATTTGTTAAATTCAGTTATGACCAAAATTATATCTTTCAAAATCTAAAATTTGAATATAAATTTAGACCAAATTTTTCTAATTCACAATAAAGCTTAACTAAAAATCTATAAACTCCCTTTATAAATTGATATTCAAATTTCAAAATTTCAAAATTTAAATCCAATAATTTAAAAAAAAGTTAAGTAATTTTTTTATTGGGGGTGGAAATAAAAGTATGTTAAACTTCATGCATTATGACATTTTTATAATTAAGGGTGTATTTTGATCATTTTCTACTTTTCGAGGATTTAAAACTCTTTTATCTTTACATTACTTAGGTCATGTGATTCTCAACTTATTTTTTTTACTTATTAATATTTTTATTTAAATCAAATTCGTTCTTATTTATTTAAATCCCTCTCTAAAAATAACTCACTCCGTCCCTAAAAATCTTTCTCTTTTCTTTTTTCATTCATCCCAAAAAACACTTTTGTATTTCTATTAAAAAGTGTTGGAAATAAAAACACACAACACACACAAATAATCTGCGAGAAACGAGAGAAAACGGAACACAAACGACACACAAGAATTTAATGTGGTTCGGTTTCCCTAATCCACGGCTGCAACGGGAGGATTTTCTTATTTCACTTGTGGTGCCGATTACAAGTACAAGTATGCAATATATATAGAAAGAGTGCATCTAGGGTTTCGTAAATTGGGCCGGGCCAAAAGTCAAGCCCAAGCCTCCACAAACCCAACATTCTCCCACTTGGAGGCTTGATAGTCATCAACTGCCATCCACCACGATTCCCTGTACATCGAGTAATCTTCCTCAGCTCTCTTGTTGCAGTGGCCCTATCATCAGACAACAGAAAGGCCCGTTGAAGCTCTCCCAAGCTCCAACACATCAGTCACGGCAAAATTTGCCCCAGACTCGTCCTCGGTCCCTAACGGCTCCCACTGCAGGCGCACACTGCCGGATCCTGGAACATCCTGAGAACAAACACTCTCCATACTCAGCAAGAAATTGTCTGGAGATGTTCCAACAGCTGGAATGCTGGTTTTTCTGACCCACCGTCTTCTAGGCAACTTGGCTGAAGCGCGTCTTGAGCTCCCACTGCCACAAATACCTCTGACTGGCCCCCTTGAACCTTCCCACGCTCGTTCATCCTGAGTCTGACCAGTGGCTCTAGGTTTCTCTCTTGCACAGACAACCTTATTCTGCCCACGAGACTCTGTGAATCGGACTTCATTTTCTTCTGAACTGGGACGGTCACTCCCTCATATGGGAACTTGATCATATACAATGAACCTCTCTTCCTTCCACGGGCCATGACAAGATTTCCCTTCACAACCTTCCATTGCCCATCTCTAAACTTCACCTTGTGTCCTTGTTCGTCCAACTGCTTGACAGAAATCAAACTTTTCTTCAAGGCTGGAACAACTTTGACATCCTTCAAAGTCCGGAAACCGACTGGGGTCTCCAGCACTATGTCACCCATGCCCGTCACATCAAGAGCTCTGTCGTCTGCTAGTCGTACCTTTCCAAAGTCTCTAATAACCACATTCTGCAATGCTTCACCGCTGTGGGTGGCATGAAATGAAGCACTAGAATCCATGACACAGGAATCCACATTGTTTTCCTCATAGCAAGTCAGAGCGACCTCCTCGTCACTCGCAGAGCCTTGAGCAATGTTTACTTTCTTATCATTCGGACATTGATTCCTAAAATTCCCTACCTCCTTGCACTTCGAGCACGTTACACCTGAGCTGTCACGAGTCTTCGACTGACTCCTTTGTCTGTTCCTGCTCCCACTACCTCTGCTATTTCTTCTACCTCTACCAACATGAAGCAATTCACCAGATGACTCCTCCGAACTCTTTCTTCTCACATCCTTGCCAACAACGAGATCTCGAATCTGATCAAAGGTGAATCCATCAGGTCCCACTGAATCGGTAACCGTTGTGACCGTTCCGGACCAACTATCAGGTAAAGATGATAGCAGTAGCAAAGCTTGAACTTCATCATCGAACTTAATGCCCACTGACAAAAGTCTGGCTAAGATCGAATTCAACTTGTTGATATGCTCGGTAACTGAAGTGCCTTCTCTCATCCTTGTGTTCACCAGCTCTCTTATCAGAAAAATTTTGTTCGCTGCAGATGGCTTCTCGTACATGTTAGACAACGCTTCCATAATTCCCTTCGCTGTCTTCTCCTTCAGAATGTTGAACGCAACATTCTTGGTCAACGAGAGACGGATCACGGACATAGCTTTTTGATCCAAACGTGCCCAATCTGCATCCGACATCTTTTCTGGCTTGTCACCCAATACCACGTCCAAATCTTTCTAAACCAGCAAATCTTCAATTTGCATCTTTCACCAACTGAAATCTGTACCATCGAACCTCTCAATTCAGAAGTTCCTGTCTTCTGCCATATCACACGACTAGACGAGATACCTGGTACAACTAATTTCAGATCTTCGTAATTTCGTCAGAAAAGCAGGCCCACCACACTAATTAAATATGTCCAAACCAAATCAGCCCAATATCTAGCCACAAGAAAAATTACGGCCCAAGAGGAAAAAAGAATAGCCCACTAGCCCTTCTTTTCTCTTACCCCTTTTTTCCTTCTGCCAATCTTGTACCTGCTAAAAGTCCAAAGAAACCCTTTTTTTGTTTTCTCCTTTGGCTACTATACCAGTTCGGTACTTAGCGGCAATGACCTTCCAGCTTCTGTCCGGCGACACCAGCACGGCGGCGGCTGGACGATGGTGGCTCTCGACTGGGCGGCAGCGACACAAACTGCCCGCTGCACCTGCCCGATCTGATGGACGCGATCTAAGAGCTCGACGCGGCGGCGGCACCAACCTGCCCGATCTGGTCGGCGTTGCTCCCGGCGGCTGACAGTGGTTCGGGGCTGCGCGTAGATCTCCAATTGAACTACACGACAGCAGCGACTCCTCAACGGCTTCCCCCGTCAGCGACCACCGATTCTTAGCGGCGACAGGTTCTCAGAGGCGGCGGCTTCCCCACACGGCGGCAGATCTCCTTCGCTGCTGCGTGTTCGAGTGCAAAGGAAGCAGCAAACTCAACTCTTCAACGATCCAACGATTTGGACGGATGGGGATGCAGACGAACAGATCTGGAAAACCTTAGGCGACAACAACCTCGCTCTCATACCACTTGTTGGAAATAAACACACGCAACACACACAAATAATTTGCGAGAAACGAGAGAAAACGGAACACAAACGACACACAAGAATTTAACGTGGTTCGGTTTCCCTAATCCACGGCTGCAACGGGAGGATTTTATTATTTCATTTGTGGTGCCGATTACAAGTACAAGTATGCAATATATATAGGAAGAGTGCATCTAGGGTTTCGTAAAATGGGCCGGGCCAAAAGTCAAGCCCAAGCCTCCACAAACCCAACAAAAAGTTACTTTTATCCCTTACTTTTTCAAACTCTACCTATCACATCATAGCTTTTTACTAATAATCTACCCATCAACTCCTACTTTTACCCATCACATCAACTGACATTTTTGAAAATTCAATACCAAATTAAAATACACTCTCCTTAAATCTCTTCAAAATCAAAACATCACATGAATATGTTTAAAGGGAAGGAGGGAGTATTAGAGAGGGATAACATCCCCGTTGTTTCTAATTTTTTTCCAAATTGCAAATGTATTGTGTTTGCTCGTGTTTCGGTGTATGGGCACCGAACGACGTGGGTGTTTCTAGGATCTTCATACAAGAAGATGCGTTTTTCTATATCGTGTTTGGTTGGTTGGGAAACTAATTTTCAGTAACCTACTTGTTCAATTGTTGTGGAGAAAAGAAAAAAAAGACACTACTCAAGCAAGGGAACAACGGGGTTGTGGGGATGGGGGATAGATGGGGTAGGGGTAGGTAAAGTTTGGTGTTTTCTCTCAATTTCCTTAGAAAATGGAAGGATAACCAAATTCACAATTTTATTTTTTCTTTTCCTGTCTGAATATCTTGAACCACATGGAGGGTTAGAGAAATTTTATACTAAAATAAGTGCAACACGAAAATACTAACAACAACAACAACAACAATAACATTACCCTAGTGCCTCAATGGCTCCCGCCCATTTCGGGGTAAAGGGGGCGTCGAATGTACGCAGTCTGACCCCTATGTTTAAAACATAGAGCGGCTGTTTCCAGATGACCCATGATGAGCGTCGAAAGTTGCATTGACTAACTGATACTTCATAATAGCAAGAAGCACACACAGTTTAATGAGCCTATTTTATATATTCCATCATACCCCAAAGCCAAAAATAGTGAATCTTTGGCTCCACAAGGAAATGGAAATAACACGAAAATAGTCAAAATACTAACTAACAATTAAATTTTGTTAATTTATAAATATATTCATGTTCATGTGGATGACTCTACTCTAATACTTGTTGGGATTGATTAATTAAAAATAAAAAGAAAAAGAAAAAAAGGAATATGCATGCATACACATAATGCAGGTGAAGTGGACCCATGATGCCATGCATGTGAATGAGAGCTAATTGTCTCCTTCCCTTGTTTTTGGTGGTGTACGAAAGTAATGGGATGTGGATGCTTTTTTTTGGCATTCACCTCTTATAAAAGGAATATTTTTCTATATATTTGGGTGTGAGTTTTACACACAGGTATATGAGAGAAAAAAAAGAGAGGAAGGTTAAAGAGAGAGGTGTTACACAAGATATCACCAACATTGTGTGAGTGAGTGTAGGGAGTAACTGGTTTTAGTTACTCGAAAATATACATCCGGGTATAGGGTGTGAAAAGTCTGTTTATAAGTGTCTGGTATTTAGCATTTGTAAACATGGAGAGTTTTTTGTGTATCGTTCTGAAATAGTGAAGATATAAGTTTTCTCTCATATATTATACTTGTGTTTGTTCTCTCATTTTTTTGGTGTTCTCAATATTTTTCGGTATCTTACGCGCTTAAAATCCCAACAATTGGTATCGGAGCCAAGTTACATTTGGGGCGGAGGGATTTCTAAGCGGTAAGAGAAGAAAGTCGAGAACATGAAAAATGGCATCGGTAAAAAGTTCGAATATTTCCGTCGAACCTTTCGATGGACGTGGCGATTTTACTCTGTGACAACAACGAGTAAAAAGTGTTCTTACTCGGAAAGGGACAATCAAAGCTCTGAAGGTGAAGGTTCAAAGGACAGAAAAAATGACGGATGCTGAGTGGGTTAAACACCGGAAGAACGACAAACCGGAAAAATTGTCGGAAGAAGAGTGGGAAGATTTGAAGGACATGGCAACAAGTACAATATGCCTATGCCTTGCAAATAATACTTTTCGAGAGGTTCTCGGTTTGACGGACCCGGTTGATATTTGGGACAAGCTGGAGAGCCGGTACAAGCCGAAATCGTTGACAAGTAGGCTATACTTGAAAAAACGATTATTTGGTCTCCAAATGGCGGAGGAAGCTAACTTTAATGGGCACTTGGATGAATTCAACAAGATTACAAAAGAGTTGGAATCCATTGATGTGAAGATTGAAGAGGAGGACAAGGCGCTGCTTTTGTTGGCTTCATTGCCTTCATCTTTTGACAACATCCTGACCACGCTTTTGTTTGGAAAAGAGACCTTAAAATTTGATGAAGTAGTTGCTGCGTTGTTGATGAACGAGACTCGGCGGGGTGGCAATGGGGTATCAAACGACGGTCAAGCTTTGGTAGCAACTAGAGCTGGTCGGGAACGAGGACGGTCTAAAGGGAGGGGCGGCGCGTCCCAACGCTTCAAATCGAATAGTAAAAGCTTTCGGTGTTACTACTGCGATGAAGAGGGTCATTTCAAAAGGGATTGTCCAAAGAGGAGGAAGGAAAAGAAGGACGGGAAAACACCCGTGATTGCGGTTGTAGAAAGTTCGAACCAAGAAAGTGAAGAAGACTTGTTTTTGGCAACCACAAAGAGTCTAGGTAAATCGGATTGGATATTAGATTCGGATTGTTTGTTTCACATGTGTTCAGTTAAGGAAAAGTTTGATACGTATCAAACTTGTGATGGGGGTGCTGTGAAGATGGAAAATGCTGCACGGAGCAAAATTGCAGGGGTCGGAACAGTGCAAGTTCGCATGTTTGATGGCGTGGTGAGAACATTAACTCGAGTGAAACATGTACCAAGTCTAAAAGGAAATCTGATTTCATTGGGAGCTTTAGACTCAGTAGGCTGCCGACTTTTTTCTCAAGGTGGAGTGTTAAAAATTTCTAGGGGAGCAATGGTGGTAGCAAAATGAGTTTTGTCAAAAGGCTTGTATAAACTTGTTGAAAAAGATTTGACATGGAAGCTGTCAGAAGGAAGAATTACAAGTGCAACAAGCGGAGCATTTGCATGGAAGAAGCGAGTGACGTTTGAAGCTTCTCGGATTGGTGGATACTCTGACCTCGCCGAAATGAGCAGGGTGGAGCCGGACCATGGTTTGATTAATTAATCAAGGTGAAGTTTGTTGGGATTGATTAATTAAAAAGAAAAAGAAAAAGAAAAAAAAGGAATATGCATGCATACATATAATGCATGTGAAGTGGACCCATGATGCCATGCATGTGAATGAGAGCTAATTGTCTCATTCCCTTGTTTTTGGTGGTGTACGAAAGTAATGGGATGAGGATGCTTTTTTGGCCTTTACCTCTTATAAGAGGAATCTTTTTCTATATATTTGGGTGTGAGTTTTACTATAGGAGAGAAAAAAAAGAGAGGAAGGTTAAAGAGAGAGGTGTTACACAAGATATCACCAACATTGTGTGAGTGAGTGTAGGGAGTAACTGGTTTTAGTTACTCGAAAAAATACATCCGGGTATAGGGTGTGAAAAGTCTGTTTATAAGTGTCTGGTATTTAGCACTTGATATAATTTTTCTCTCATATATTCTCCTTGTGTTTGTTCTCTCATTTTTTTGGTGTTCTCAATATTTTTCGGTATCTTACACGCTTAAAACCCAAGAATACTATCCAAGCTTTGGAATGATATTTGGCTAGCGTGTTAGCATATTTTTGTTTCTCGGAGCAGCTCCTGGTACGACTTTAAATATGTCTATTTTGTACTATGTGCATCTATTGCCAAAGCTGTTAAAAGAGTCAATTTATACAAAGATTTAAATTTGACTAAATAGTTCCCTTTGTGTTTATTGTGTGGGTGTGTACCTTAAAGCATATATTAAAATTTAAACTACCTCAAAGTCCGTCTCATTTATATTAAAAAACTATTTTTACCCCTTACTTTTATATATCCTACTTATTACATCATACATTTTTCTTAATAATCTACTCATCACATCCTACTTTTACCCATCACATCAAAGGTATTTTTGGAAATCCAACACAAAATTATCCATCCTTATTTTACCACTTTAGTCAAAATATCCCAATTTTTTTGAAACGGAGGGAGTACATTTTATATCACTACATGGAGTTTTATGTGGTAAATGCATCAAGGTTCTAATGGAAACATATCTTTTTACATTGGTAAGGTTGAGTGCATCTTGACTCTCAAAAAAAAGATCGTTGTGGGCCCAGTGAAAGTACAATTTTTCTTTGATATAGTTTTTTAATTTGTAATTTGTAAAAAAAAGATATAGTTTTTTAATTTGTAATTTTTATTTTTAAATTCTACATCATTTTTCATATAAAATGATTTGAAAATAACTTCAGTCAAATATCGTAACGCGCAACGGAAAGTACAATTTTTCTTTGAATACTCCCCCGTTCACAAATAAACTTTCCGTTGCGCGTTACGATATTTGACTGAAGTTATTTTCAAATCATTTTATATGAAAAATGGTGTAAAATTTAAAAATAAAAATTACAAATTAAAAAACTATATCAAAAGATAATTATTACAGAGTATAAACTTTCCACTTCTTTAATTAGAAGGAAACATTAGCCTTATTCTCGGACAAGTTTTGATTCTATTTTTGGGTGAATGAAGTAGTGATACTTGTTTTTGTGAAACATTCACAACTTAACTTGAATGCGATTCTATGGTCTAGTACAGTGCTTGGTGGTTAATTTATACCATCAAACATGACTATATTATTTTGTCAAATGACTAACGAAAATAAGAAATAAAGTAAATGATATTTGACCATATGAATAGTAAATATACAATTGAATTTGACATGGAGGGAGTACATTATAATATTAAAAAGTATTGCATTCAATATTATCTATATATATTTTAATTAAAAATATTTTTATAGAGTATTAAAAAATCTCTTGGCAGTTGCCTTGTGACACGTGTGGATTACATTCATGGGCGAATATGAATATTATGCTGAAGCCAAATTTTGGGAAGAAAAAAAATTAACCTCTGGCCCAATCCAAATTCAATTTTTTGCACGTCTATAAAAAATATTCCTTCCACCTTAAAAAACTTTTTCTTTTTTAAAAAAAACAAACTTTAAAGATGTACTCCCTCCGTCCCATAAAGTGTTACCCATTTTGACTAAAGTTGAAATTAAGGGAGGGATAATTTTGTGTTGACTTTCCAAAAATACCCTTGATGTGATGGGTAAAAGTAGGATGCGATGTGTAGATTATTAGAAAAAAGGTATGATGTGATAGGTAGGGTTTGAAAAAGTAAGGGGTAAAAGTGGTTTTTTAATAGAAATGGGTAACGGATTGTGGGACACAATTTTTTTGAAACGTGTAAATCTTTTTGGGACGGAGGGAGTATAATTTTGGTTTTATTTTCTAGTTCCTAATTTTCTATCCTACACATGCATTATGTGATGCCCTATTAATGTTTAGTTTTTTTTTTCAAATAGGAAAGATTTTTTTAAGAAGAGAGAAGAATTGCACAAGCTTGCTATTTGGGACCATACACGAGGTAAAAAGAAAAAAACTGCTAAGTTTCGAATTTGGTAATTTCTTTGGTGCTATACCAAAAAAGTTTTTTTTTTTTTTTATTTCATTTGTTCAAAATAAATTTTGAAAATCTTGAATTCCCTTATAAACCACCATCAAGCCTTAAATAGAGTACCACTCTCTAATTCCTTTTAGCTATATAAACTGTAAAAAGGATTTCACTAAACCTAAAGTAATTGAAGGGAACAAATTATTAGGATTTGAAGAAAATGGCGAAGTTTAATATGTTGTCCATACTCTTTGGTGTATTGTTCATTCTATCGACAGGTTTTTTATATTTATAATTGTTTAAATATAATGTCTTATAACCAAAATTCAAATTTACATATATACATCAAAAACTATTTTGTCTTTTCTTTTTTCATCTATCCAAAAAACCATTCTTTTTCAATTCACCTACATGTGACATGATTTTATTCCTTCTTAGTTTATCAATCTCATCATATTTTTGCTCTAAAAAAGTTAAAGAACTCACTCGGTATTAATTTTAAAAAAAAGTCTTCTCTCGGCATTGACAATCTATTTTTTTGCAAAATTTGCGTTGACAATGTTAGAGGCTGTATTCAATTAAGATTTCGATAGATTTTTTCTTGGATTTTAAAAGTCATTGAATATTTAGTTGAGGTTTTTTTAAATAATCATTTAAAATTTTAATGTGCTGAATTGAAATTTTACAAAAATTCTTTCTAAATCTGATGATATTAATAAAAAGATAATCCCGCTCTGATACCATGTTGGAACTTCGGTGGCCGAGTGAACTGGGCAGAGTATTGGACTGAATTTAAGACTAAAGTTCTACTTTAGAACCTTAAATTTTGGTCACTTTGGAAATGCTTGGTTCACAAACCAAAACTTAACAAACTTCACAAACTTATCATTTGTGAACTTCAATAAAAAAATCAAATAGTCTAAAATAATTTTAAAATGAGAATTTAATCCATAAATAGTAAGTTTGTGGAGTTTGTGATCATTCTGTTTGTGAACGTAGCATTGCTCTTTATCCTATCAAAATTATCTTATCTTAAGACAACGGTTAACTTAAAAAAATTGAAATAATGATGTACTCATATATAGGTCTATGGTTTAATTAATTTGTTTAGTGTTCTTTTTTAGCTTGGTGTTAGATTTTGTGCCGGCGGATTGTAATAAGGTCTTCTGTTGTCACGACAATCACATCGGTTCTTGTAATCCTGGCACCAGTGATGACACCAAGTGCGATAACCTCTGCTTTCAAAGCGATTGTGGCAAGGGCGGGAAATGCAAGATCTTAGGCAAAAAACCCCCTAACCATTTTTGTCATTGCTTTTGCTAGCTTGCAGCTAGAACGAAAGCCGCGCCATGGCTATTATACAATACAATACAAGACTGTAGTATTTCTTCATTCATTGTTGATCATTTAATCTCTTGCATGATAGTAAAAAAACAATAATTTTTTGTGACGAATTTCTATAAACGTTATTGGTTCACTATCTTTTTGCACATTGATTTAGAGCTAAATATTGTTATGTATTTTAATGTAATTGGAAAAAACTATTGACCAATAATATCATAATAATAATCAAATAACTTTGGTGGTGCGGAATGCACGCTTTGTTGAATTTGTTATGATAAAAGTCTTGTTATAATGGGGGTTCCAAGGGGGCAACGTCCCCTTTGGAAGGGCTCGAATGCAGCGCCCCGAGCAGGGTTCAAGGGGTGGTAGCCCCTACAAGGTCCAAGGGGCAAATTTTTTATTCTAGACAAAGCATTGTGTTAAAATTTACTTAAATAATTTTTAATTTTTTGAATTTGGGTATAAACAAATTCCCAAAAAGTCACCTCTTTTAAGTTTTGTGCGATTATGCATAAACTTTAGAATAGAAGATGTGACTGCACATCTCTTCTCTCCGCTTCTATAAAATCTCGTATAATCAATACGGAGTAATCAATGATGTTTACAAGAGTTGAATATATAATATGAATTCTCGGGGCGGCTATACATGGCATGAATTGTACTCCATAAATTTAATATTCACAAAAAGAAGCTAGATCATATTATAAGATGGAAATTTAATCATAGTATTAATATTATTATATTAAATATAGTACTCCGTAATTATATTTAACAAAAACTCACATTATTGATCATAAACATGTATGAGATTTTAATGAAATTCGAAACTCATCTCATCGATTAGATACTCACTTAATTTTATAGAAGAAATTGTTATGATTGATCAAAAAACACACACATACCCAGATCTGAATTTAGGGATGACAATTCTACCCAAATCCGACTTTTACCGATCCGACCGGAGCTTGTAATATCCGAATTCGAACAAAAAAATCAAATATCTGAAACCGACCCAAAAAAATTTAAACCGAACCCAATTTTTATCGGGTCGGGTTTGGATTAGTATTTGACCAACCCGACCTGACCCGACATGTACCCGACTTTCAATAAGTTATTAAAACCCTAAATTCCTATATTCCATGTATTTTTTATGTACATACTTTTAATGTTTTAAAACTTATTGCATTTTTTGTGTTTCGTTTTTATTGTAGTTTAATCTTGTGGAGTGCAATTGAAGGGGGGGTGTGTGTTCGAATTGGGACGGGGTGAGGGGTTTACTGGGGTAAGGGGGTAGGAACCGTCAATTTTATGAACGGGGCACCGGAGCGCCTCGGGTCATCTCATGGGAACCTTGGTGTTTATCAAGATTGTGTAGTCATTTTGCTTCTGATTTTTGGGTGGAGTACCTAACACTTTGTTTGGTTCAAGGATTTTGAAATGGAGAAAGAAAAGAAAATAAGAGAAAAATCGATTTTCTTGTTTGGTCAGAGGGCAAAAGAAAAGAAAAAATGAAAGGAAAAGAAAATGAGAAGACAAAATGTATTACGAGGAAGGAGAACCAAATCTCTTTCATTTTAGCGAGAAAAATGAGAGATTTCTTTCCAAATTCCTTAAACCAAACATAGTGTAAAGGTTTTCGATTAGGTATTATAGGACTATTGGGGAATTTCTTCTAACTTGCAAATGTTTTGCATCGGTGTGTGGGCAGTGAATCCGGTGGGGATTTCTATAGATTGAGTCTGTTTTAAACTGTTTCTTTGGAAGGTTTCAAAAACAAACATGAAATTCGATGTCATTCTTTTGATCAAGAGGCTTTTCTTGTTCAAAAGTTAATGTCAAGCACATACATCCTCAAAGCTTTACACAATGTTTGGTCTGGAGAATTATGAAAGAATGGAAAATGGCTAGGAAAAGAAATCAAATGAAGAAAAATTCTTTTTATCTTGTTTTTTCCCCTCATTTTCTTCACAAAAATGTGAAATGTAATGTTTTCCTACCTTTTCTCTTCTTCCCAAATTTCTTTTATTTTTTTCCTAAAAGTTTTCTAACCAGACACTAACAATTATTTTCCTTACCATCCTTTCTTAATTTCTTTAACCAAACATAGCGTTGGAATTTTATATTTAGACAAGTACAAAATGGAAAGATACTTGGCGATTTAACTTTATTAATTTATAAATTTATTTTGGTGTGGATGATTTTTACTCTAATCTTATCCATGATGTCGATGGATTTACTCGTTCTGTATTTTATCAGCGGGCTAGCATCCTTTAAACTCTACTCAAGTTTTACTTAAAGTATAGAGACAAAAGAATAGCGTAGCGTATTCCGAAAACAAGAAGCACCAGTGGTCTAGTGGTAGAATAATACCCTGCCACGGTACAGACCCGGGTTCGATTCCCGGCTGGTGCATTTCAGGATGGTGGTGAGGAAAAGTATTGGGTGATTTGGATCTCCAATTTGGCCTGAAGTTAATAGGCCATATCGCGATTCTGAGCCATCCTTATTTTTTATGCTCAGAAGCCTATTTTATATGTATAACGCTCTTTTAAAATAATGGTTTAAAATTACTTTAAAGGAAGAAAGACCAAACTAGAACTAAAACATTGAAGATATAACAAAATAGGACTTCCATGTTTTTATTCTCGAAATAGGACTTACATTACCAAACATGGTCATATACATTACCAAAAAAGTATAGTAATTTGCACATGTACACTGCCACATTACCACAATGCAAAGTCAAATTACAACAGTGCAAAATCCTATTCAGGGAAAAAAAAATATGAAAGTCCTATTTTGGTATTTTTCTCTATGTTTTAGTCCTATTTAGGATGATTTCTATACTTTAAATCATTAAAATATTATTCTTTAATTACTAACCGATGTTATAGATCCAACATTAAGCGTTGTGGCCTGTAAACTTAAATAGTTTTTTGTATAAATCTTTTTTTACATTTTCTTTTGTAGTATATGCTTGCCAGGTTTGATCTGTTTGCCTTTAATGTTTATTTTCTTATAGGATTAGAGTTTCGAGCGAGTAGGTTTATATAAAGTATTGTAAACCAAAATACACAAATTAAATGCGATTCCAAGCCCGTGATTTTTTTAAATATTGTAAACAAAATATGCGGTGTTAAGGAGTCAATTTAACCAAAATCTCAAATTTATGGTTGTGGTTTAAAAAATATATATATTTATGTTCTAACATGTCCAAGAAGTGACATAATAAAGTTGTCGTTATATCCCTTTCAAGGAATAAACTCAATGATTTGCATCATTGTTTTTAGCAAAATGGCTCTTTAAACTGTATGCACTTTTAGATAGTGGAGTAACAATCACTCAATGCAACTATGGGTCATCTAGAAACAGCCACTCTGTATTTTAAACATATGAATCACACCAGAAAATTACTCATCTAGCAGATTTTGTGGTTATAACTCTCATGTCCATATTATCTGAAATGTACTCTAAGGTATATATTAAGTTTTTTTAGTAAAAACTCTCAGGTCTCATATTATCTGAAATATACTTTGGGAATCCTTAAAATTTGTGGTAATGTACCTTGAGATACATTTCATCTATTTGTTCGCAAGGATTGAAAGCTTCGTTACTTTAACAAACACTAAATTTAACATTTATGATCATTATTTTATTAAATATAAATAAAATCCTTTAATTTGTCAACATAAAAAATCGTAATGCCTCCTAAATGAACGAAATGTACCCTCGAAGTATAATATCACAAGATTTTGAGGTATCTCCGAATATTTTCAGATGATGTGATATTGTGATACTTGAGAGTTATTGACATAAAATCAAGAGTATTACGGAGTAATTTTCTGAGATCAAGTTATGTACGTGATCACCAGTGGTATGATAGAATAAAAGCTCTCTTTCTGCTGATGAGTAAAGGTAAGATCTGCCTACATATCCACCCTAGACCCTACTTTTTAGGGATTGGATTGGGTTATTGTTCTTCTCTCAAGTCAAACGCAATTTTTATGTACGCAAATAATATTTCTCTCTAGTTTATGTAGTTAAAGAATAGGATTGGCGTTACGGAGTCACAAAAAAGGTCGCATAGAAATAGTTCTTCTATTAGCCTTTTGTTAGGCTCAATTCCTTTACACTATGTTTGGTTCAAGGATTTTGGCTGGGAAAAAAAAAGAAAATAGGAGGAAAATGTTTTTTTATGTTTGGTTAGCGAGAAAAAGAAAGGAAAAGTGAGAGGAAAAAGAAAGCAAAATCATTTTCCTCCCAATTTTGGACGGAAAACGAGAGAATCCATCGCTTCCCTCTCGTCGCCCTATTACCTCGATCCTATCGCCATAGGAGCATACGTTGCCGTTTCGAGAGGTGTGCTTGTGGCCGCATCCGCCGACAACGACGGACCTAACCTCATGTCTGTCACTAACGTTGCTCCGTGGCTGCTGACGGTGGGAGCCGGCACGATCGACCGGAAATTCCCGGCGGAAGTAATCCTGAGCGACGGGAGGAAGTTCTCTGGGGTATCACTGTACGCGGGGTCTCCATTGAAGGACAAAATGTATCCCTTTGTATTCCCCGGAAAATCTGGGATGCTCTCTGCTTCACTGTGTATGGAGAATTCACTTGACCCCAAAGAACTCAGTGGCAAGATTGTAATATGTGATCGGGGGAGCAATCCGCGTGTGGCGAAGGGATTGGTGGTGAAGAAAGCTTAACCAAACATCATTTTCCTCGTCAATTTCCATCTTAACCAAACATAACTAGAATTTTGAGTTTCCTTTCTTTTCTTTTCTTTTCCTTGTCATTTTCCTTTCTTCCTTAATTCCTTGAACCAAACATAATGTTAGTAAATTGACCCATAATAATATGTTTTGGTTCTTTGCAGTGAGCAAGATTTACACATGGTTGAACAACTAACAAGTCGTTCAACGTATATTTAGTAATTTCACAACTAACGACTAAAACATCAACGTTGTTTTCTGGGATGAATGAAGTATTAATACTTTTTTGTATTTGTGAAAAATTCACAGGTTGCAGAGCTGTATGGGATTTAATATATTCATGTCTTCACCTTCGCCGTGATCGTTATCTCATTGGAATCACTGTTCGTAGTGTTGATGTTGGGTAACGCCACTTATATTACGTAGCGAAATATTTTTTTGTATCTAAACGTTGTTACCACCCAAGATCACCATATTTAAACTATAAATTATTGTAAGAAGAATACCTTTTTCTTCCCAGAAAACAGATCGGAAGGTGTGGTAGAGGCTAGGGTTTGGTGCAAGGAACGTAGCTACAAAATTATCCAACCTCTAGCGCGTTCGCACGAACAACGAACAAGAAGAATTTATAATAGTAAATTTTTCCAAAAATATTACTAGAGTGGAGAGCAAGTCTTGCCAAAAAGAGAGGAGAAGCCTTGCCATGCCCTGCCTGGCAGTGGGCAAGGAAAAAAGGGTCACGAGGCATTCCGCGAGTCACTTCGCTTTGTGTGGCAGATGCGAGGCAAAATTGAAGCAGCAAAATACAATTACTCTCTTAGAAAATCATTGGTCACTCTCTTCTCCGCGCTAGTCTTCTCCGGTCATTGGTTTGTTCTCTTCTCTGCGCTAGTCTTCTCCGGCCATCATCCTTCACCTGCAACCAACCCTCAGGTAACTCCACTCGGCCATTGGTTTGTTCTCTTCTCTGCGCTAGTCTTCTCTAGCTTTGATTGCTTTGCATTCCATCCCTGTGCTTGATCTCTTTTAGGTCGAATGGATTGTTTTTAATTCATCAAAAAATCAAATAGATGAATTCATGGTAGTGCACACTAGGTGTTTGAAAAAATGTCCAAATGTAGGTTATTGAGTTTTTGGACAAAAAAATACTATTGTTGGAGAAATACAATCATTACAGTTTACACTCTTGTTCGAAGTGATTGTAAGAATATTCTTTATTGAAGCATTTTGGAATATTACATGTAGGCTATATTGCTAAGATATGTGTTTGATGCTAATTTTGTTGCTATTATGAAACCTAACTTCCAATTAAAATGGGTAATAAAGTGATGAACCAGATTGGATGCTAGAGTATGAAATGCTCTAGAGTGGTAAGAGTTCTCAATGTGCTCAATTATCAAAGTTTATGTATAGCTAGTAGAGTATCATATTTATTTGTCATACACATGATGAAATAGACTTTGAGTTCTTGGAGAATGTGAGTGGTGAGCCATACACTGTGCACACAAATGTTAAATAGTGTCATGTCAGCGTGTGACATTCTAGTATATGACTTGCCATTATTCATGCTCTAAGAACATTAACAATGGCAAGGCAAAAATAAAATACCACACGGTGATATGGACTTTTTCAACCAATAAAAAATAATCCAGTCACCATGTGTCAAATGAGTGGAGTGTCATAACATGCAGTAGCAAGTCATTGTTTTTTGTCTATTTTTGTATTTTTTTAATGATTTTTAATTATAAAAAATTATTTTACACATTCATTTTATTATTAAAACATGTCCACTTCTTTTAAAAAATATTTTTTTCAAAAATTAAAAATATTAAAAAAAATAAAAAATGAGAAAGTCATGCATTGCACATGGAATGAAAAATGTGGTGGAATGGCCATGGAATGCCATGATTTGAATGACATTTACTGACATGCGCATGGCAAGGCATTGCCTTGCCATTGTGAATACTCTAAAGGTTGCGTCCGAACTCCCAACAAAGGAAGCACTAAATGACTAACTATTTCTCATAAGATGTGTTTACTTGGACCGCACAAATATTCTATCTCTTAATTTCTATTTATTCCTCTTGTGAAAATGACTCCCATTAACTCATTCTTATTCTTCAACCCTTCTTATTCAGCCAATTAGAATCTTTGTTTTAACCATTAGGTTCTTTAAGTAAATACTCATTTATGCCATACTCCAAAAGGGGGGGAAAAGCCCAAAACCCAAAAACCAAAAAGTAAAAATCAAATGGGCAAATGGCTTTTGCCCCTCCTTCCTTTGATGTGTGGGCATGGATCCAAAACCTCCCACCAATCACACAATGGAGAAGTGACTGCATCCAAACAATGCCCAAATGGTACACTAACAAAAAAGGGAGTCAAAATGTACAGCCAATACACATTAAAGCTCTTACAGACTGTAACTAGGAGTGAATGGGATGGATTGAATGAACAGATTCTTCATTCCGCTCGCAAAAAAAAAGTAAGAATGAAGACGGCGAAATTAGTTAGTTACTACAAATTACGTACTACTATATTCATGGGCAGGCACGGTCTTTCTTGAACTCTTGATCAGTTGATACCATCTAGTCAAATACTCTCAAGGCGGCGTAAAAGAGCTTGATGGCGCCATATGGAATTCCATGTCAAAATCTCGAGCATCAGCCCACTCAGGATGTAGGTGAAAAGAAGACTCACATTTGCGTCACGCTGCAAATGTTTCGCAAATACAAGAAAATATCAATTACTTCATTCGTCCCAGTATAAGGTTTGGGTGCAGGTGTTTTATTTATTTATTGTTTGTCTGTCCCTGAATATGGTTAATGTTCACTTCCACTTAAAGATGTGTAAAGTTCATATAAAGAACCATGTTGACTGTGGGATTACTAAATATGCCTACTAAGACTCGACACTCCATAGATGTAAAATCAAATATGAGTAGTGTAATTTATTAATTTATTTTTTATGGTTGGTTCATAAGAAATGACTTAAAAATTAAAATGACAAGATAGATATTAGAACGGCAGCGCAATTTTGAAATCCGAGTGCGCTTGTAGTTGAGGATTCATTTGAGATTAGTGGCTACTGATACCATAATTAATTTTGAGGTTGAATCATTAATTAACATGACGAGAGTAGTGCTACGTCTTTTGTGTTAGTTTGAACTCAGCCGAAGTGAAATGAATACAAAATGAAGTAGGAGAGAATCACTCACATATGTATAAAGAAAGGGTACAACCACAGAAACGTAGGACAAAGCATGAGCCCATGTGTACCTCGTGTTTCCTGCAACAAGAAAATTATAGTACAGAGTACTACTAATATACATCAACAAGCAATTGAGCTTTAAAATTTGGGTCATAACAGAACTTTTTCTACGAGACCTTTTACAGCACTCCTTAAAACTATTACCATATTTTAACTACACGGACAAGAGAGAGTTATTGTCTATGTAGTTAACAAGTTGTGTGACATACGAATCAGTGTATAACAATGTTGTACATCTAACTTGGCTCATGTTAAATATTGCAAAGAAAATGGACTAATAAATAATACCCCTTGAAGAAGCCATGACACATAACAGAATGGCTATACAGATAGCAATAGGCAGCGAAAAGACAAGGGGCCGAGCTATTCCCGTGTCACGCACCTACCAAAATCAGAAACAGAAATGTTAGTTTTTATTTTTAAGTTCTTTGTTGACACTAAAGGGCTGTTTGGCTGGACAACTTGAAGGGAGAGGATAGGATATGCAAGAAATAAGAATAGCTTTATATGTTTAGTTAATTCATGTAGTTCTATATATTTCTTCATTTTCAGATTTCACCCCGACCATTAAAGTGTACAACTACAAAAATGACAGCAACAAGTCCAGTATAATCTCAATACTGAAAAAAAAACAGTAAAACCAAATCCATACAAAGAAATGACAAAAAATGTTCCTCTTTGCCAAGACTTTTACTATGAGGTGTTAAGTTTTGCCATGCACGGAGTATAATTAAAGGAAACAAATGCTCTTTGAGAGTGCCCTTCATGATTTTTTGCACCTGGATTGAGGGTCAAGATGCGCTCCACCTTACCACTGTAAAGAGGAGACATTTTCAATAGACCCGTGATGAATTTCCCGCCTAAAACTTTGTGAAGTGATATAAGGCGTCATTTTGTTGTAGTCTATTATATACTTGAAGCTACAAAGCATTAGTATTACAGTAAAATTATAGAAGTAATATAAGGTGTCACTTTATGGATGCACGTAGTATAAAATTGAAATAAGTACCAAAATATTCTCCAGAAAGCAAAAGTATGATAGGGTGCTCGCAAAAAACAGAAGGGATGACTTCCAAATCCTGCATAGTATTACAGTAAAATCACCCATGTGAATATAAATAAATATATAAATTAATAAAATTTAGTTTTTGTTTAGTAATTTTTCTGTCTTGCACTTATTTTAATGTGAAGTTTCTCAAACCCTATGTTTGGTTCAAGAAATTCAGAAAGGAAAAGAAAAGAAAATGGAAAGGAAAATTAATTTTAGTGATTGGTTAGAAAGAAATAGAAAACAAAATTGGGAGGAAGAGAAAAGGTAAGAAAATGGCATGAATCCGGTTTTTCTTCTATTTTTGGTAGGAAAATGAGAGAAAACATCAAACCTCACCCTCCCTTTCCCCATCGGCCACCTCCCTCTCCCCACTCTTAGGTGCAACCCATCCAATGATTACCCTCCACACCCCACCCACCCCCTTCTCTCCACTTCTTTCTGCAATATTTTTTTTTTGCTTTCTCTACAAAATCGAACAAACGACTGAAAATTGATTTCTTGACTGATTTGCATATTAACAAAAAAAGACAAAGAATTATAGTTTCTTAGAATTTCTTTTCCTTTCCTATGCATTTTCATTTCTTTCATGATTCTCCAAACCAAACATAGTGTAGAGCTGTGAGGATGTGTGTGCTTGATATTGACTTTTGAACAAGATATGCCTCTTGACCGAAAGAACGAAACAGAGCATTCATTTGTCGTTTTTGACACCTTCCAAACAAATGGTTCATATTTATAGAGTTAAATGAACATTAATATGCAGCCAATCATTCTTCTTAAAATTTCCCAATGCAGAAATTGGTTATAAGACACTCCAAAAGTAGTGGTAAAACATAAACAACAACAACAACAATATTATCCCAGTGCCTCCGCTGCTACTTCACTATAAAATACACATCTATTTTACAAACATAAATTCATGCAAGTATGAGAAGCAGATATGGGTTCATGAAAATGAAAATCATTTGACATGCCTGGTGAGAAACCCGTCTGAAGCAACGCCCGGTGTGATGGCAAGATTTTTCACCTCCACTTTGCAGACATCACAAATGTTGTTCCCCTTCAAGACAAACCACTTCCGAATGCATTTCTTGTGGCCGATTGCCAGGTCTCCCTTGCAGGAGCACTCAGTTTTGAATACATCTCCTCTTAGCTCTTGAAAACAGACCCTGCAAGTGAATCCCTTCCCTGCAAATCCGTCCCCAGGAAATAACAATCATTGACAAAATAGTTGAAAACAGGATCTCGGGAGATAACTCGAATTTCCCCCCCAATGGCGACCCAACGCTTGATTTCCCCAACCCGAAACCCTCAATTTCAACGAGAAACTCGATTGCGAATTAGGAAATCAAAATTGAAGGAATGATTAGAAAGCTCACCTGGGCGGAGAATTGGAACGGAAGAGAAGAGGGAGGAAAACCATAGCAGCACCTTCTTCGCAGTGGATGTCATCTCTTCACCGCTCTCCTTACCCGAAGGAAGAGCAGAGAAAAATTACTGTGCCGTATTATACTAGGGTTTCTAGGGACGAAGCTTTTGTTTAACCACTTGGTTATTTATATTTTATTACTAATATTATAAAATAATATTATCACATCTCATTTTAGAATTTTTTTGTGTTATTCCTAAAGATAACTTTCATAAATTATATTTTTTTTAATTTCGTACTAGTTTTAATTAGGTAAATAAAGTTATTTTTTAATCTTTCTACCTCTCTGCCTAAATATTTGTTAGTTTTATCTCTTTACAATTAAAATTTATAGACTTCGACTATTAATTAAATGAAACAAATGTTAGATATTAGCGTAAAAACAATTTATTAGATTTATTTTATAAAAATATTTTTAAATTAATTTTTTATCTAATTAATATATCATATAATTCTTATTTAATTGTACGACAAAAATTAAGAATGATTGATTGTAAAAAGTTAAAACTTAACAAATATTCATAGATGAATGTATAATTAGTTTTATTACAATATATTCTCAATTCATACATATTTTTTCAATCTACTAAACACAAAGAGTCGGTACCTTCACGGAGAAAACCCATGTAACCTTCCTTTTTAATATTATTGACTCGGTTACAATGTAGTATTTGTTCGTATAATTTTCAACCTAATGACGCACAAAGAGTCAATGTTTTACCTCTATTGGGGCTCGAACCTGGGTGAACTTTCTCATGAATCTTGAGGAGTGGGCTTACTACCACTCAAACCATGGGAGAAGTTCACCCATGTAACCTTCTATTTAGGAAAGTGCCTGTGGACATTGTGTATTTGGCAAGGTAAGGGGCCGGGTGCCAAGAGGTAAGACTCGAGTTCAATTTCTCGCAACTGCGCTAAAAGGCAACTATTCTAAGCATAAGGTCTCTGCAAATCTCAGGTGCGGGCTCGAGTCTTTGCTACCAATCTATGATTAAACTCCAATTTACCTCCTATCATCAGTGATCGTCCGGCCGGGTCTGAGGGGACCTCAGGGATGGGGCGCATCCTTTTTTTCTATTTACAAAAGCTATTGTAATGTCACTCGACCACAAATTCTCTTATGCCTTATACTCCCTTAGTTCTTCACCTTAGTCCTTAGTCTTTTTAATTTTTCTGAAAATAAACAAACTGCATTAAATTTGAAGAGGTACAAAGTCAGGATGGGAAGAATCTCAATACATAATAGAAGTTTGCCCATAGGTTGCAGCAACAAGAGAGTAGACATAAAAATTAGAAGATCGAGGAATAAAACTGAAGGAACAATTATTAAATCCCTATGTAAGATTCGTGCAGCCCGGACTCACTACAAGAAATTATGTTTTCGCCGCACTTATTTTACCACTCATAGCTATGTGTGGTAAAGTAATTAAATCATTTTGAATCTCTCTACACCTATATATGTGGCAATTACATATTTACTAATCCCCACCTTTATTTAGTGTAGTTAATTAATCTCCAATAAAAAATGTCCCACCCAAAAACATTTCGTTTCCCCGCATGCATCTCCTAAAATTTTATTCAGTGCGCGCCTAATAATTTAATCTGTCTAATTAGGTCATTCATTCTCGATCTTTTCCAATTCGTTCATCTTCCTCAGTTGCGCGGCCTTCAATCATCTTCCTCAGTGACGCGTCGTCGAGCGTTGTTCATCGTCGGCGATCAATTTGCCTCAATCGCGCCTACGCTTATCTTCCGCAGTCATCGCGCCCTCGCTCATACCTTCTTTGTTTCGCCCCTATTCAAGCTACTGCTTCAATTGTGCTAGCGCAAACAATAATACATAGAGGTATGTGTTTTCCCTTTATCTCATGATATTAGAAAGTTAGTTTTGTGTTAATTATTGTACATTTAGATCCTTTGGTTGTCTATTATTTGGGATTTCAGTTTAATTTGTAGAAGTGCATAATTATTTTTTGTTGGTTAGAAAAAATTATATATAATGAGTATACATACATTTGTAGTAGTGAATGTTCATAGATGTCAAAATTTCCTTTAATTAGTAGTTAGTTTCCAAAGGAAATATATTTCTATAGCACACAGTCAAAAATTATATATAATGAGTATCCAATACATTTTAAACTTGTTTGACATTAGGAATTACTGAACTACTTAAGCATACTACAACATTTTTGATTTGATATTTGACTTTTGGTATCTTGTGTACTCAACATCCTTTTTTTGCGGTCCCTAATTGATCATACAAAATCTGTGTATGAAATATTGTTTTTAAACCTAGTTTTTAGAGACAAAGAGTTAAGGCGAGATGCTCATATAGAAGACTGCTTTCACTTAACCCCCTTTTATGATGAATGCATGCCCCATTAAGAAGAATTTCATGTATAAACTCCAAGGGCAGCTAGTATCCCATCCTTTTGTTATCTGCCAATGGAGGAGCTGATAATCCCTATCTCAGTGTTCAAAATCTAGGAAATTTTGTATTACAATTTGTTTATTTGGTTTGTGGCATATTTAACTAGCCTTGTAAAAAATCAGCATCTGTTAATAACATATATGGCTTATTAATTTATATTCTTGTTTTTTAGGTTATAACATTGTTTGAAATGGATAAGAGTTGGATTAATATGAATAGAACATCGACACAATATATAGGTGGTGTTCAAGCGTTTCTCGATTTTGCTTTTGCAAATGCTCCAAACAGTAATGTGATTGTTTGCCCTTGCAATCATTGTAAAATTGGGCGGAATCGCTATTTTAATAGAGATGAAGTAACAGAACACATCATGTTTAATGGGTTTTGGCCTAAGTATACAGAATGGGTGCATCATGGGGAACCAATTTCGACTACACATATTCCAAGCCACACCAACACTTGCAATGATGCAAACTTTGTTGGTAATGTGGACACTAATGCATTGTTTAGTGATATTTTAGGGATATGCAATCAAGGGAATTATAAAAAGAGGCCCGATACTGACTCATGTAATCCTCCTGATATGGATCCTTTGTTTGGGATAGATGGTGAGCAATTTGTGGTAAATGATGACTTTATTGATGAACTTAACTCTTACGATGGTATGAATGAAGATGAGAACTTTGAAGAAGTTGGGTACAAAAATCTAGTTGAGCAAGCCCATCAGGAGTTATATCTGCACTACGTCAAAAACAGATGCTGACAACTGTTTCTTTTAGTAGTCTCTCGGTGCTGATTTCAGTAGTCTTCCGAGCAACTGTCTCATATATTTACAGACTATTGTTTAAAAACAATTGTGTAAAATGGTTGACGACACCTGTTTTGTAATGTTTTAGAGTACCACATTTTAGTGTTGTCCCTGTATGAGTAAGACATCTGTTTGTTAGAGTTAAAGAGAACTGTGATTTTTTGTTGTCTATCTATAATGAATACTACTGTTGTTTTTAACTTCAAACTCCTAATTCTTGGTGTTGTCATTCAACAATATAAACATCTACTTAAAAAGTAATTGAAAGATATATCACACTGTTGCTCGGAAGACCACTAAATAAAAATAGCATCAGACAATTGTTATCTTTTGTTGTGTTTCTAGATTATGGACTACTAATTTTGTTGTATTTTAAACAACAGTTTCTTTCAGTTGTATAGTGTTTAATAGCACTGCGCTTTTTTGTAGTTGTCTTTGAAATATTCAAACTATCTTTTTACACACTAGTCAGATTATAAATCAGACTACTGTGTCGAAGACAACTAAGGATGTTTGCATAAAACAACTTCTATTATGTGTTGTATTTGTAAAATGTAAACAACCTTATTTGTTGTATTTCATACAACTATTTGTTTAAATTGTCTAACGTTTATTAACAATACAGGTTTGTGTAGTCATCCTTTAAAGATTTAAAAAACTGTTTAAATACATTGTAAAGCTTTTTGAAAGACTACTATATTTCAATTTACAATTATATTTAATAATTAAAATTTATTTCAATTCTAAAATATTGATCATGAAACAAAAATAAATTCCAAAATGTACAATGTATTGAATAATATCTAAATACATACAATCCAAAATCTTAATAGCATTCAATAATTTAGTATTTACATAATTAAAACCACATTCTAATTGTCCATTAACCATGCCTAATTTAATTATTTGTCCCCTCAATAACATCCAACATTGAATAAGGGGAATCCAGACCTTCAATTCTTGACGCCGTTGTGACCAGGATAATCTGCAAGCGAAGCATATAGTGAGTTGAATCACCAAGGAAAGAAAAGAAAAAACTCACATGGAACCCCCAAGTGCTGGGCCAATTGTTTTGAAAAGAGACATTGCAGACATTGAAATTAAATCCCATTTGCAGCTCTCTCTGCTCCTGGCACTGAAAATCATTTTAAATTTCTTTTTAATTAAGGGGTAACCAACTTTAGCAAGCCCTTTAAGAAGTAATGCCATTTTATGAATTACTCCGTATAAGAGTTTTACCATATAAGAATACAAAAGTTAAAGCCAAAACATACTTCCTAAAATATGACACTTACAACTGCTCAGTTTTGAAGTATCAATAATCCCGTAGTGCTCGGTTTTGCACCTATTTCATTTTTCAACTTCCAACCAACAATAATCTCATAACAACAACACCAATTGGTCATATTGACATTCTAAACATTATCAAGCACATTAATCCATCAATCAATGCCTAATTCATGCATACTACCTTTTTTGATTTAATGACAAAATTCCCAAAACCACAATCAAGAATTGTACACATAAATCACAAAGATCAACCACGAAAACAATTATGAATGAAATTTCAAACCTAGATGAATATTCTAGTGTTAGATGTCCACGTACTCACCTCAATTGATCAATTCAATTCAAAAGAACATCATTCAAATTCAATCATCGAGGTAACCCCGCCCGCTGCCCGAAGTCAAGCCCATTGATGCCCGGATTAAAACATCGCTGCTCGTTTGTCTACAATATACATTAATATTAAATATAGTAAGAATATATTTAACATGCTCCCAACGGCGCCAACGAAGAATGCCGCACGCCTAGACAGTCTCAAAACTCGGAGAAGACCATGGAGGGTAGGCCCTTGGTGAAGATGTCTGCATACTGTGGGGAAGACGGAACATGAAGAACTCGTATCTGACCAAGGGCTACTCTATCACGCACAAAGTGAATGTCAACCTCGATATGCTTCGTGCGCTGATGCTTGACTGGATTGGTAGAAAGGTAGACGGCACTAATATTGTCGCAGAAGACTAGTGTAGAGCGTGTCAGAGGTTGTCGGAGTTCGAGAAGAAGATTGTGTATCCAACTAACTTCAGCGACGGCATTAGCAACAGCTCGATATTCAGCCTCAGCACTAGATCGAGAGGTGGTGAGTTGTCGCTTAGAGGACCAAGAGATAAGGTTGTCGCCTAGGAAAATGCAGTACCCGGATGTTGAACGACGAGTGTTTGGGCAGCCTGCCCAATCAGCATCAGAATATGCCCGCATATGATCCGTCTGAGAGGGTGATATAGTGATGCCATGGGTAGGTGTACCATGTAGATAGCGCAGAAGACGCTTCATAGCTGTAACATGTGGCACACGAGGATCATGAAGAAATAGGCATAGTTGCTGCACGACATAGGTAATATCTGGGCGGGTGAAGGTGAGATACTGCAGTGCTCCCACAATGGAGCGATATAGAGAGGGATCTGGCGCTGGAGGACCGACCGTGGCCGAAAGCTTCCCTCGGGTGTCCACGGGTGTAGAGACCAGTTTGCAGGAGGTCATGTCGGCCCGTTCAAGAATATCATAGATGAACTGAGTCTGAGTGAGGGATAGGCCATGAGAGGTCTGCTGGACATTGATCCCGAGAAAAAAGTGAAGGTCGCCCATATCTGTCATAGCAAACTCCCCTTTTAGCCGTGTTGTGATCCGGTGAAGGAGGGCAGTAGATGATGTTGTGAGGACAATGTCATCAACATAAAGCAGGAGAAGTGCCATGTCCTGGCCACGACTGTAGACAAACAAGGAGGTGTCGCTCTTACATCCACTGAAGCCAAGAGAGAGAACAAATCCTGTGAAGCGCTGGTACCAGGATCGGGGTGCTTGTTTGAGTCCATAAAGCGCCTTATTTGATCTGCAAACATAATGTGGGCGACCAGGGTCCTGGAATCCCGAAGGCTGAGCGGTGTAAACAGTGTCTGAGAGATAGCCCTGCAAGAAAGCATTTTTGACGTCGAACTGGTGGATCGGCCAACCTCTAGACACGGCAAGGCTCAGGACAATGCGTATAGTGGCCGGTTTGACAACCGGGCTGAAGGTCTCGTCGTAGTCGATGCCATGGCGTTGATTGAACCCACGAACAACCCATCGAGCTTTTTACCTGGACAATTCACCTGTTGGGCCAAGTTTATGGCGGAAAAGCCATTTGCCGGAGATGACATTTTGGTCGGGGGAGGGGGGTACTAGATCCCATGTATGATTAGCAATCAAAGCATTATATTCATCTAGCATAGCATTGTACTAGTTAGGGTCTTTGAGAGCACTACGGTAGGTGGGTGGTATGGGGGAGATGGAAGCAACGGTGTTTAGGTTTAGGATTTGTTTGGGGCAAAAGATCCCGGCCTTGG